TATCTTTAAAAAAAAGGTAAACAAAAAATTAACAAAAACCCACTGCACATACCTCCCCCCCACACACCACCTGTAAGAGTATAATATTCTGTTTTACCTGTAAGAAGACAAGGATATACATGGGAAAGATGTGATGGGTCCAATTCTGTGATTGCTCACTTTATACCTGGAATATACTTGAGTCCGCAGAAAAAACTTGTTGTCACAATATGATTTGAGGAGACTTCATTACTGCCTTGATCCTATCTCTTAACATCTTATTTGGAATTTTGGGGTTTCTCTGTCCTCTCTGCAACAGTTACAAGCAGGCCTTTGTAAAGTGGAGTTTCGTGCATGTGCGTTCTCACAATATGCAGTAGTTTTTCTTAACCAGTGAGTGCTTTGGGATAATTTTGCTTAATGCTGACAGTTAAAGCCAGAAACAGAAAGCAAGAATCATTGCAAAATTCCATGGATTAGCTAAATATTATTACAGGGAAAGAGAATCTTCATATTTTTGCTTCAGGGTTCTCATCAAACATGTGTCTTGCATTACCTTTCGCTAAATATCTTTTTGACTGTATTTGCTTGTATTAAACAATTGGGAACAAATTTGGCATGTAGTTTGTTTACTGCTCAACAATGAGGACTACTAAACAATTAGAAAGTTTGTTCCTAGACTTCAAGCTGCAGATAATATCTCTAGCTTCCTTTTAATTTATTTATTTTTGTTTAAAGCAGAGTTCCAGAATCCAGTCTAAAAAGGAGCTATGTATTGTGTCTGAGGCTTTAGATCTTGTAGAGATTGGATTTATCAAACTTTTGTTGTTCTGCCTTTAAATGGCGTCACTTGTCTGCAGCCTGTAGGCCCAGACTATGCAGCTGATTTGTTTTGTTTTATTTTTAAATGTGGGAATTGCTTTAGGCATTTATGTTAATATTCATATTTTCTGAATTAGTGTTGTATTATTGCAGCCATTTTATTGGTGCAAACTACAGTATTCACACAACTGACTGAAATGGGAATGAACTGACTAATAGAGACTAATGTAAAAGTTGACATAAACCCTAGATTTTAAATAAAACCAGAAAAAACTGGTAGCTGCCATGTAAAAACTCTATCTGTTGATGTTTTGCTCCTATTCACCTGACAGTCGTGCTCTTTGGAGCTCTTTACACACTGTCATGGTTCAGAATTTTATAGCAAAGATAACCTATTCTTCAGATGGACAGTTCTTTTTAGGTTTTTTTGTTGTTTTCCTTCTGATCACTGGCAAAATGTGGCACTCAGCAAATAATTTCTCCTGTCCATCAGCTCACTTTCAGAAAAAGCAGTTGCTTTTTCCTGCTAACTTTTAAGCCAGATTCCTTTTAGAGCAGAAGACTTGAAGGGATTTACTAGATCACAAAATCTGGTACTATAGCATGAACAGGAATCATGTTCTAGCCTGCATTATAACAGCGTATCCAACTTATTTGATTCTTTTTCTCTAATGTTGGTCTCCTTGTTGTAGAGCTGATCTTGGTTGCTGTCTGAGCTTTAAGTTGCTGATGGGGGATAGAAACTGTGATTTCAAAATCTGAAGTGAACATAATAGTACGGGGGTATTGATACCATTAGAAGTGGGAGCTTCATAAGAACACACTCCAGCTCACTCTTGCTCTTTGGGTCTCCAAGAGAGAACAGTGTAGTTCTGCTTCCTTTGGAAAAGAAGTTTGGTCCTAGGTAGGTTCACACCTGAATGCAGTTGCAACATTGTTTTGGGGGAGGTTAATTAATAAAGATATTGTATTCTCAGTTTTCTTTTGTTTTGTTTTATTTTATTCCTGGACAACATAGCATCCTGCACCAGTTCCATTTCTACTTTGTTTTTGCAGAATATGAGTGACAAGAAATGTACACACTCTTGTTAGTTTGTGTGACTTGTTACTTTCTAATTGGACTTTTGCAATGGGTTTGCATTCGATTTTTAATTCATTTTGTTTGTCAGCTTTGGGATAGTTTTCTTTTTCAAAATAAAGGCAGTAAAGGACTCTAACTTTATGTTGACACCAGCAAGCTTAAGTTATGGTATTAATATGACATGTTTCAGACTTAAGCAATAACAATGAGAGCTAGAATCAACAGTTTCCCCAACATCTTCCATATCGACCTCAGTTTTTTCAGTGTTGTTTGAGTACACAGCTTTAACAAGAAGTTTAACTTTTGTCATATAACATACCATATTGTGTCTTTGTGTTGCTCTGCCTTTTCTGCAAGTATGGTTTGATAGCAGCACCAGGTAAAGGGATTCTGGTTTTTGTAAATTTTGTATGCACTTTTTTTTTTTTCCTGCTAGAATACAGATACTTGTCTCATTGTTAATAGACATACTTTGCAATGTAGTTGTTAGAAAAATTTGATCTTGCTACCCAAGATCTACTCTATTTTGTAAACTTTTTATAGCTGCAAAGAAGTAAATCGATAAAAACTTCTTTTTACATGAAAATCTCATATTCTTTGACCAAGCTTCATTTGACTTCCAGGTTTAAATGAAATTTATGTTCCATTTAAAAAAGGGATTATAACCTATTAGAAGGCTAGTGCAGGATATCCCAATTATATTTGTCTGAATTACATTAGTTTCCTCTTTGCATTCAGAAAAATATGACTATCCTTTGCTATATCAGTCCATTCAACTTTAGTTTTAAATTCCTAATAGTATATTACCTGCATCAGACAATTGCATAGGAATTTCTGCTAATTTCTGACAGATGGTGTCAATAGCCATGCCTTGAATTTAGGTCTTTAAGCTTGTTAATGACAGTTATGAAATACTTTTTTCCTAATGTTAAAATTTTCAGTTAATGAGAAGTATTTTTGCTGTTGGGGCATTCCATCTCAAAAGGGAAAGGGACATGCAGGTGCACAGACGCTAGTGGTCAAAAAGGAATGACCAAAGTCAGAAGGTCTGCAAAAGTTTATAAAGTTTCATTAGTAAATTACACACTTGTCATTGAAATTGGTATGTTAGTCCCTTTAGTATAAGCACATAGTGGTGGGTTTTGAATAAAGGGATAGGATGAAGGAGAGTGAGAGAGATTATAGAGAGGGCGAGATGAAGAAAGAAAGATCACCAGTCCTAGTTCCAGTGTCGATTCAGCTAACAGGGTGTCCAGGCTCCTGAGGCACGTGTGTCTGAGCTTTGTCGGTGCACCTATTTATTGATAAGTTTCTCGCTTTCTATGCAAATTATTTATCATGCACAGACCTTTGTGGAAATGGGTCAGAGGGCTTCAGGGGTCTTTGGTCATCTTGATCTCCCAATACTGAGTGGGCTTTTTGGTCCATGACCTTTTCTTGACCTCATTCCTGCATTTTCGCAGTACTGTGTTGTACTTATCTCCAGGAGTAAAAACAAGGACGTTTGTCCCAGAAAACTGCTACCCTACCTCTGTATGGCTCCCTTCTCCAGCCACATCCTGTTACTTCTCACAGCATGTTATTACCACATACAGCTATCCAGCTATTGGTGTTTGAGACATATACCCCTTATCTTCTGGGCTTCTACAGCTGTATTTTCACTTCACTGTAGCTAGTTTGGCCTGTGTGAGGAAAAGAGATGAAATATCTTCATAATCAATGGTTATGAAGGTTTAAGAGAGAAAAAAATAAAACAATTGGCCAACTAACCACATCCTCAGAAAACCTATACTGTAAGAACTGTGAGTTTCTCAAGTTTCCTTTCCTAAGCAGTTCCAGGAGCATAGTTCTGGGTCAGGCTTTTTCTTCCCTTCTACTGCTCAAACATCAGTACAGAAACCTGTGTCTGAAAATTTAAGTGAATCAAAGTAGGCAATGAATCAGTGAATCACAGGGCAAATATCTTATAGACAGTCTTCTGGTTTTTTAAGATGTGAATTGGATCATGACAATTCTTTACTCTGGGTAAATTAATTCTACTTTCATTTCTTTCTACTAATTATTTCTAAATAATTCTGTCAGTGGAGCTGTGGATAATGCAGCCTGTTGGTGCTAAGATAGGAACTGTGTAACTTGAAAAAGTATGTGTATGCTTCCTGACTGCAATGTAAAAATAACTCAAACTTACAGTTCTAATTGTCTGGCTTTTCTTTTTTTCCTCCAAGTTACTCACAAAGGATTTCTTCAGTGTGTTTAGTATAAACTCAGCACCCAAGTAGATTAAATATTAACCTCTTCCTTCTATGTAATGGTTGTATCCATACATTGAAAAATACTTAATCTTGAATCACATCATTTTACAGATAAGAGCCCTTTTCTGGAATTACTTGCTTCTCCTATCAATGATATAAAATTTACATCAAATTGAATTCCAACAGCTTAGAGCTCTATGGAAGACAATCTGTGAATTAATTGTTGCTTTTATGCTTGCAAAACCAGCATGTGCAAGTCTATTTTGATCGCTGAATTTAACTCCCTAAAGCAAGATGTTTTGATGGTTTGATTTCTTTTTTATTTTTTTATTTTGCAAACAAATAGGCTTTGTGACCTTTTATATTCCTTAAAGTGATCAAAGAAAACCCCAGTGTGTACGTGCTTATTTTGATTTTTAAATAAAATTCATATTGGCGCCTACTACGTCAAACATCCAAATAAAATACAAATTCTCACAGTTTTAACTTACATCAAAGATGGAAATCATTGTGTGGTTTTGGAAACCAAAGCAATTCTAAGATAGACACAGTTGGAATTTTTTTTATTTGACAGTTTGTTTCATACACTTAGTAACAGTGTGAAGTTGAAAGTGTGTGTTCTAATGAAGGAGAAAGACTGGGGGAACCTGTATAGTGACACTTTAGGATTAAATTCAGCTAGGTGACACAGTTAATTACACTTGTAATGGATTATACAGCAGAAGAAAACTTTAAAAATAATAAAATTCCTCAATTATAAATGTGTATAATACAAAGTATTAGTTCTTGAATTTGTCATTAGTAATGCAAAATATCTTGTACATTTTCCTGCAGATTGGTGATAATAGTTGGGTTTCTTTTGGCAGGTTGTCAAGTTGTTAAGTAACAAAAGATCTCAAGCTGTTGGAATATTAATGTCTAGCCTTCATTTAGACATGAGGGACATTCAGCATGGTAAGTGAAATAACTACTGATACTTCTCAGACCAAATAATTGATAACCTAGAAATGGTAATGATTTATATCTTTTGGTGTGTAAGATAAATTAATATGAGGCCTTTTATATACTCAATTTTTTTATGAAAATAGTTTGCTCTGACATTTATTTTCTCCTTTCAGCATCAGTTATATAAGTGGTATATAATACAGACACTTTGAATTTTGCTCTTTCTGAGGAAGAAAGAGTGATATGTTGCTTATTTTGATTCAGACAGCCTTGGGCCATATCCAGAAAACTGAATTATAATGTTTAATTTATTTGTTTTATAAAATAGTTCCTATATTTAGGCTAGCACAAACTGTGGAGTTCTTTCATCTTCAACAACATTTTTTATAAAGCAAGATCTTTTGGGGGAGTGTAATAGTTTTCACATTTATGCTAAGAGACAGTAGTGCAAAAAGGTGAAAAGTGGAATTGCATTTATATTCAGAGCATCCCTTATGTTTCCCAAAGGCTTTGGATAGATTTGAAGCAGATTGAATTATCCTGTGAAGTGCCAGCCTATCTATTAAATAAATGTGGTTTCAAGTATAACATAGACTTCATAAATCACAAAAACATCTTGTGAACTTTCTTGGCTACATATTTACAGCCATGCGTTCAGTTTACTGTGATTTGCTTATTTTGTGAAATTATTCATAAATAGAGCAAATTTCAGAGCACTCTGTCGGCTAGTGAGTAACTCCTAATCACAGTTTTAAGTTTTTATTGAACTGTTTTGATGGTTACTAGACTTCCTCAAGCTGAAGCACTTAAGATGGTAGTCATAGAGCAAGGCGCCAGTACTGGCGCCAAGAAGTACTTGGTATTTCCAAAGCTGGCAGATGTAGTTCAGTTAAGTCATAGAGCAAAATCTGAAAACAATGATATGGTCCTTTCCTTCAGTCAAATATTCAACTTGGTTTCAGTTAATAATGAAAACCTTATGAAAAAAAAGAGTCCGCCTAACATCTGTGTCTGTGGTAAAGCCAACACAAGTTCATTGAAAATTTGCTTGCTTAACATGCAACACTAACAATAACATGGCATGAATGTCAGTAGTTGAAGGGGTCAAACAATATTATGCTTAACCTTTATCCTATTACAATATTAAGCACACATGATCATCTAAGAGCTGTGTGCAGATTTTGTATGTTCCTCTTTCAATAGCTGTTTTGTAAAACCAAAAGTCTTTGCAAAGGGGAATTTAATAGTTCTTTAATTCCCTTGCTGTGCAGAACAAACATGAGAAAACTTTTGTCTGGTGGCAGAATTTGTGGAAATGAATGGAAGATCCTGGTGCTAATTTTTTTTTTTTTTTTTAAAGAACATAAAATAGGCATGGAGGAAAAGTGGTGAAGACCAGGAAAGAAATTTGCACCATGGGGGCAAGGAAAATAGAGATCTCCCCAAGAAGTATTTCTGGTATCAGTCACTCCATGTAGAGCCCTCTGAGTGATCTAACCATAGACCCTATGCAGAAATTACAGTATCACATTCCCAAGCAATTCAGCCTCTACTTTTATGTAGTCTCTATTTTAACTTCCTTGTTAAAAATGAAAGGTTTTACATGTTTTTGAGTAGAGCATTTGTCTGCTGCAGTTCAAATCTACTAAGAAGAAGGTGCTATCAAAAATTCAGATAATGATAAAGAGTGCCTGCACTAGCAAAAAAAGTTTAGTTGATATAGTTGCATGTTTATACATTAATATTTAGTTGTATAAAAATGATTACAGAAAAAAAAAAGGGATAAGTGTTGTTTGTTCCAAAGCCCAGGGTTTTAGCAGTGGTCTTGAGTTTTGCCATGCTTGATGTATGCTGACATGTACATTTACACATATCTCACTCAGTACAAAACAAGCAATGGTTTTTCATAAATCTGAAAGCCGGTAAAATGAAACCTCTCCCTTCCTCCCCCCACCCTCCAGTCTGTGGTGCTAGGCAACTTTCTTTATGGGCTTTCTTGTAAATATTCTCTATATTAAACATAATGGTATGCACTGTTCATGCAAATTGTAGAAGAATTGGTTTTTGGTTTTGGGTTTGGATTTTTTACTGGCCATAGAAAAGCACCCAGAAGGAGAGAGAAACTTTCAATGCAGTGTGATATTCTATTTCTTGGTTTGCATGTTATTGTGTTGTTGTGGGGGTTTTTTCTAGTCTTTTAGAAGTATTTTAAAATGTTACATGAACAGAAGAGGAAAAAATTTTGCTGGGTACAAATTCACCTAATAAATTTAGGATTTCAAGTTTTAAATAATATTGTGTTGAGATGAAGATCTTAAAATAACTTGAGATTTGGTAAAATGTTTATTTTAATGTCCTGTAAATTTTTTATGTTTGGTTAGTGGTTTTGGTATATTTTTATTTGCTTTTTAAGATAAAAAACAACGATGAAATATTATCTGTAAGAAATAATCCTTGATGAAATATTGTTTTGGAATCTTGAACAAGTGAACCACTTAAGGTTTTTCTTAACTAATCTTGAACACTTAGCTACTTTTTCATGCATGTGTGATCAGATGGTATTTAATGGAAGATCTCAGAATACTGTAATACATCCTAAACAGATTTCTTTTATGATATCCTTTTTAAGTGTCTACTTGCAGAATTTCATTTGTTTGCTTCTAGCTTTAAAAATATATTTAAGTAAGACAAACTCCCAGACCTCGTCTGCTCTTAAAATATTTTCAAAGTGTGGAAGAAATAATAATCAGAGTATGTTTTCTCTGAATTCTAGTATGCCTTTCTAGTAGTGCTTTAAGTTAGGGTAGGTTAATTTTTGTAGTTATGGGGTGTTTTTTTAGTAGATTCTACTTGCTGACAGAACTCCCAGTTATTTTATGCAATCAAGGCTAGAACTGTAAGAAATGTTGGTCTCTTTAGTCGCAGTGCCATTTCTATGCTATTAGTACAAAAACGAGTCCTCATGGCTTCTCTGATTTCACACAAGGTTTTACTGATGCATGGTTTTTTTGCAGTCATCTATCAACTGTGCAAAACACTTCATCCAAGCGTTTCGCTTGCTTTTGTATTTTCACTATACCGCAAATACTTTATCCAGTATTATGTTCCCGCTGGAGATATTGCTGTATTTGGCTGCATGATACAGCCAAAGTTTGAGAAATGCCAAACAAACACTTCTTACATATTTTTCCTTTACAGTTCAGATTTTCTTAGAGAAAAGACTTGGGTTTTAACATTTATCTTTTTGGGTTTCTTCTTAACATTTCAAAGATGCAAAGTGTGTATAAATTAGAGATACAAAAAGATTCCAGTTAATTTCCTAGAGCAATCTATGATGAACACCCTATATAGCAAAATGGGAGTACATGTTAAGCCTGTGTCTGTGTTTAGGGACTATGTCTTGTAAATAAGATATCTCTTTTTGTTCAAGTTGTCTGTCAGCACTTAAAATGGAAGAACTGTTTGAAATTGTAACCCTTTTGCAGAAAATAGGGCTGTCAGTAACTTCTCCAGTCCCCTTTTTATAAAGATACAGTTTATTCTCCTCTGTGTTTACAGCTCTCATTAAGTGCTGTAAGAATAGCAAAAAGTTCTTCTCTCTGTGTATAAAAATAAAAGGAAAAAACGAAACCGAAGATGTTAGCCAAGAAAAAAAGGGAAATTTTGCATTTCAGGCAGCTAAATATTGTACCTATTACACATTGAGATTTGTATCTAGGAGTTATTTCCTATAAGGAAATTAATCTTTGGTTCACCAAAATCATCTTAATTCTGTGCATGCCTTACAACTGTTGAAAGTGAAAGTCTGTCAAAAATGACATATGCAGTTCTCTGTCTTTTGACATTGTCTGTAAACTTCTCCAATTCAGAAAGCTTCTTTTAACAGGGATTGTCATTTCAGGCACTATATTGCTGCAATATTCTAACTATATTTCTGTAAGGTTTTGCATACCACACAGTGATTGTCCTGGCTCTGTTGGAAATAGTTTGAAGATTTCTGCCTCTGAATTTTGGACCATCTTCTCATATCCTCGTTCAATAAGTAATTTCTCCCCCTCTCTAAGATACTGGTAATCTGCAGAATTTGATGGAGCTACCTGTCCCACTCTAATATCTTGGGGGCGGGGGGAGGGGCAGGGGAGGAGGGAAAGGAAGGCTTTTAATTAAAGCCCTTAACTCTTTGGTCAGTGATACTAAAAAATGAGATTATATATAAGAATGTAATAGGGAACATAGTCACAGAAAGTGTAGGCAGATTCACCTACCAGCTGGTAAAGACTAACCCTGTAATTGGGATTTGAGATAATTTTACTGGAAGTTGTTATGTGTGGCAGAGATTGCTCTGCATAAAGCAGTACAACTTTGAACAGCGAAGATATCTTCTGCCCTGAATTCAAGACAGATGTGCAGGAAGTGAACATACTTTAAATGTTAGCAAGAAAAATAAATGTTTATTCTTAGTGTTTAGCTATTAGTGACAAAAGAACATGAGAAAGTCTTGGTTTTGTTTTCTGACTTGACAGCTCACACTGACACATAGAAATGATGAGCAAGAAGAGACTTTGTCAAAGGTTTAACTAAATGATTTCACTTGTGAAGGATGATAAAATGTCTCTTACACTGCATTATTTCAGTGTTCTGTGCAGGAATTATTCACGCATTGAACTGTCATGTAGTCTAGGTTCATGAGATGCTCTACGTGGAAAGCAACCAGGAAAGAATGACTCAATATCTGGAAAATAAGACTCAGGATTAGTTTATTTAATGGAAAGACCAGAGGTGATCTGAGCATTATTTATCCTAACAACAATACATGTGTGTAAGCACAATCATTTGAAACTCATTACACCATTCTTGACAAATATTTCAGTATCTTCCTGAATGACATTTTACGCTTTAAACACGTTACGGGAACAAAACAATATCGGATTAGATCAAGTTCTTAGGCCGCTGTGATACTAAAAAGGAATCCTAGCTTTGAGATTGCTTTAGAATTTCCCAAAATCATT